TAACACCATTAGCTTTTGAGTCATATGGAAATTGTGAATCTTGTCTTTCAAGTAACTTGACTAATAAACCTTTTCTAGGAAAAAGGATAGCAAGCCAAAGAGTACTTAAGTAAAATTTCTGATTTATTTAAAAGGTCAAAGAATTCGGTCATAATGAACTCCTCCAGAACACTTTAGAAGTCTGGCGTTTCTGCAAGGAGAAATAGGGCTTTGTTAGACATGGCTAGATCTATGATGAATTCATTTTCTCTTCCAAACATTCTTTTGAGGGTACACGCTATAAATCTCAATATGCATTCTGAATAGTTTGATTAGTGCAAAACGTACTATATGAGTTATAGTATAATAAAAGACATTTTCTTCACATATTAAATATGGGTTGCCCTACATATGTAAAGAAATGTGCACTAATCAAATTGAAAGGTGAAGTAACATAGAAAATGAAGATTCGTTAGATGGTCTGACGAAGGATTCAGTGGGAGAATTAAGTTGAAGAATGTCTCTAGGAGAATATCCTTCAACTAGTTGAAGTAATATAGGAAGCGCTTCGCACCAACAAATGATTCTTATGAAGAAAGTAATGACATGGTTGTCATTCCTTCTACACCTAACTCTCCCTCTATGAGTATAGCACCAGAAAACTCTGAGCATTGGATAATCCAATAAAAGAGAACCTCTTCACGATCAGAACGAAGAGCCTGAACAAAATGCAAAACATTCAATTCTGTGGATCTACTAGGATTCGTCATGAACTAACTAGGTTTGACTTCCTCGTGGAGAATGATGATGATGTTAAGATTCCTGATACAGATGAACCTGAGACCTACATAGAAGCAATATTAGATGTTGATTCATAGAGGTGGCGAGAAGCCATAAAATCTAAAATGGACTCGATGTGTATCAATCAAGTATGGAACTTGGTTGACTTACCTATTGGGGTTGGACTCATTGGATGCAAATGATTTTCAAGAAGAAAATTAATGCTGAAGGCAAAGTGCAAACACACAAAGCTAGGCTAGAGGCTAAAGGTTATAGTCAAAGAAAAGGAATTGACTATAGTGATACTTGTTCACCAGTTGCAAAACTGAAGTCCATTTGGATTTTGCTTGTTATAGCTGCATAATATGATTATGAGATTTGACAAATGGATGTCAAAACCCCTTTCCTTAATAGAAACCTCGAGGAGGAGGTGTACATGGTACAACCTGAAGTTTTTTTTATCCAAGTCAAAGTCTAATTCAATATGTTAATTGGAGAAATCTATTTATGGGCTAAAACAAGCCTCTAGGAGTTGAAATATTAATTTTGATGAAATAGTCAAATCGTTTGACCTCATCAAATGAAATGAGTGTGCTTGCGTGTTTAGAGTGCGCAACAAGGATAACGTGGTCTTTATAATCATATATGTTGATCATAAAGAATGATATCTCCTCATTGAAGTCCGTGAAAGAATGGTCACCCAAAATCTTCATGAATATCTTTTGTCAATGGTAGACAGAAAGAACTAGTAGAATTTAATTATTCTAGCACTAGTTTTATGTATGATAAGAAAGACTATGAGTCACAGTCAGTATATGTTTTTAGTCTCAATGTAATAGTAATGCTGCAAGTAAGAAACTATTGTAAATTCAATAACTAGAGCCTAGTAAATTGTTGCATTTGATGCAACATAGGTAAGCATTTAGATACGTTAGTTCCTTAAAGAAATAGGGTAGTTCCTAGCGACAGTTATCCAATAATTGTTATTGTGACTGTACTGGTACATTTGCACAAGCTAAGGAACCAAGATGCAAAGTAAGAAACTAGAAAATACCAGTATGCTATCATGTTTTGATAACAAATAGCAAGATGAGAAGTTGCAATAGAATGCCTTCCCGTAGAGGACAATTTGGCTGGCTCATTCACCAAACCTTTGAGACGCGAGAAACATTGTAGGCTTTTGAGAGTCTAGGTGTTAGACGCATCGGTGATTGGCACTAGGCCAAGTGGGAGATTGTTAGTATATATGTCCTAGCAACAATCACTTTTTAAAGATATATGTACTTGATCACATTCAGTTTTATATATTTGATATATACGGTATTACACATTGATGATTAAGTATTTTGATTGTCAATATCTTATTCATAATTGTGTTCCCTTGGACTTATGTTGTCAATTAGTGTTGGACTCGGGCCGGCGGTCCTATATTGCTGGACCCGGGACCGGCCCGGGTAGCCACCGGGTCCGGGCCAGGCCGGGCCTCGGGTTTGGTTAATATTTTTTTTTTTTTGCTTAGCTACCCATCCCTGACCCCCCCCCCCTCACCCCCCCACCCCCCAAACCCCTCCTAAACATCAAGCCCAACCCGGTGGAGCCCAAACAAATGAAAAAAACCAAAAAAATAAATAAATTTGGCCCGGGCCGGGCCTTGTTATGGGTGACCCGAGCCCGGACCGGAAACCCACCGGGTCGGGCTTACCCGGACCGGTCACTGACCGGGCCACCGGTTCGGGCCGGGCCGGAACAGTGCCGGTCCCGGGTCGGTTCCGGGTCGGGCCACCCGGCGCGAGTCCAACCCTATTGTCAATAAGTAAGTGGGAGCTTATATGATATAACATAAAGTCCTAAAATAGCCTCAATCAATGATCATCAAGAATGGGATATTGATGATATGTGATAAGATTGGTATGTGGACTGCATCATACTTTTAGAAAGTATAGATCTCACAACTATGAGTTCATGTAATTCATGATGGTCACGTAGATATTTTAGAGAATATTGACATACCCACCGAGAAACCATTTGATAAGTTCTATTCATGTGTCTATGGGATTATCGGCGTATAGAGTAGTGTAATAGTTCTCCGACTTGAGGTTAATACGTACTACATGTGCGGAGTGATGTACTTTGACCATGACCAACGCTTGCACTCCAATCGGGGTAGATACGACATGTGTTGGGTGCATCACGAAACACATGGAGTAGTAGTTGAGCCAAGAAAGGATTCATTCCTCGTAATAGATTAAGAGAGAACATTTTACTTCTCATATCTAGATGGATCATAAAGTCATCGGCCAATGCAAAGATATATTCGTTTTGGATAACGAATATGATCGTTATGGATCATCTAGAAAGATTGAGAGACAGAAACTAAGTTATTGGAATAGACACAATATCATGTTCTAGACTTAGTTGAATGTCCGCCGAATGAAAGGACCGTATCACTATGAGTTCTATATTACAAGGAGTTTGAATAGTCCTCGCAAACGTCCTTATATATTAAGTTTGTCTGGTAAATCATCTAGGGATTCTACTAAGACCTTAATTTGATTAATGCTTAATATATAAGGCCCTATGGGTCACACAACAAGTGATTATACCTTCCGATTGAATTGTTAGAAGGAATTAAATATTATTAATTGGGTTAAATAATATTTAATTCATAATGCTGAAAATGAGATGAGTTAAATATTAATTAGATTAATATATTTAATTCATTATGTTGAAGGAAAGTGCTATTTGATAGAATTAATTAAGTTTGATAAATTAGATTTATTATACTTAATTAAGATGTATTTTTAATTAAATAAAGTTGATATTTTCTTTCTAATTTAGAATTAAAAAGAAAGATATAATAAAATAAACATTAGTAAGGAGTAAAAGTGACGTGAGGAAGACATGATAGAATAATCACTTATTATTAATTATGTCATTAATAAGGAGTATTGGTCCTATTAGGACTAGAACTCATTAATGAGAAAGACTTTCATTGTGATTGGGAAACTAGTTTAGAACTAGTATAAATACATCCTCCTCCTTCATAGTTATAGACCAGTTTTCAGATTCAGTATTACCAATTTATTTCCCTGCGAAGAGATTTCCTAGCTTTTCTCTTAGGGAGATCTAACCGTTCTTTCATAAAGGAGAAATCACGTAGATACAAAAGGTCAAAGATTATCACCGCTAGGCTGGAAGATCTGTAAGTTCTAACTCAGATCTATTATTATTATCATATTCGTTGTTTTGTCATAATCATAAAATATCTGTTTGGGAAAATTTTAAACTTCCGTTGTTGTACTTTCGAGGTATGTTACATCAATTTCCTAACAGTTATTTCTTTTGCATGCAGAATATGAGTACACAATTAACATAATATTCAATCAATAAACAATACATTAAAATAAATGTTTAAATATAACTACACCTAATTACATATAAATAAAAGTGATTTGTATAAAGCTTTACGGTTTAAACCGGCTTAGAATTTCTCTGGTATAACCCTATCATTATCTGAATTGTATCGAGAAGCCATCCATCCTTCACTAATCGCTAGTGGGATAGGCCATATGCCCCTATTTCCTATCAAAGCCATCTGGCTTATGGTTAGGCAATGCTCAACCGCCCTGAGGCTTCAATATGCATCCACTAAGAGTATTTTAAGTTCACGTGACTCTTTCTTGACACAGAAAACATTTTATGAGTCCTAACACTTCTCAGCTCGATATTCCTTTTAGATTTCACCCTTCCGAGTAGGGGTGGACTCGGGTCCGGGCCGGGTCCAGGTCGGGCCTAGGCCCGGGCGGGCCGGCGGTTCAAGAATGGTGGACCCGGGACCGGCCCGGGTAGCCACCGGGTCCGGGCCGGGCCGAGCCTCTGGTTTGGAATTTTTTTTTTTTTTTTGCTTTCCTAACCCCCCCCCCCCTCACCCCCCACCCTCCCAAACCCCCCCAAACCCATCCTACTCATCAAGCCCAACCCGGGTGGAACCCCAAAAATGAAAAAAAAAAAAAAAATCAATTTGGCCCGGGCCGGTTCACCAAAATTGAGACCCGAGCCCGGACCCACCCTACCCCCCGGGCCTAGGCCCGACCCGGAACCGGACCCAAGAACCGGGCCGGTCCCGGTCCCGCACAGTAGCGGGCTGGGCCGGTCCACGGGCCGGGTGGCCCGACCCGAGTCCAAGCCTACTTCCGAGTTCCGAGCTCCCCAAATTGGTACTTGGAGTTCAGTCCAAAAACTAAATAGTTTCGGAAACGATCACATTGAGATGCCAAACCTCAAAATAGTTTGCAACAGTTTCCTTGAAGAGGGGCCAGGATGCTGCAGGCCATCATGTGCACAAAATGGACATCAGATCAAATAAGTTGCACTACAAGGTTCACGACTTCACATACAAAATAGTTACTCGATTCTAGCTCTTCTGATCAAAGATAACGCATGGGGTCGCATGCCATCAGCATAATCATTTAGTAGGGCACTAGAGAAAGCAAAATAAACCACCTAAACAGATATATTCTACTAATGACCATGTCAACTAGGTTGATTTCTTGGACTGCTTCCTCTTTTGGGTGGATGCGGCCTTTTTCATGGATGTCTTGGCCATTTTAGGTTGGGCTCGTTTTGATGGCTTCTTAGGTGTGTCACTAACATTCTCCTCATCACTCCCACCAGAAGAAACATTATCATTAACAGGTTTACTCTTTGCATTAGTTTTCTTCTTCCTGTTATCATCTCTCTCGCCCTGCCCACCCTCCTTGAGCTTATTTCTTCCTACTGGCTTCTTAGCTCTAGTTTCCTTTAGAATTTCATCACCTTCATTGTCACTTCCATTGTCATCACCAACTGAATTGCCTTTTCTGTCCCTTTTCCTGTTAGTAGATCTCTTGACACTGTTAGGTTTACTGTCATTACCATCTGATTTTGCCTCCTCTTCATCAACATCAGCATCAGCAACTTCACCCATTGGTACCCTTTCCTGCTTTTTAGAAGGTTTGGCAGATTGGGGCCCACTTAGCTTTTGTAACTCAGGTACATAGGCCGTTGTCTGAGTTAAATCCAGATAAGGAAAAGAAAGGGAAACAAAGTAAGCAAGTGAAATACCAGTCAAAGATGAATGCCAATGTATATTTTGATGAGTACACAGACATACCCTGCCACCCGCATTTATAAACTCAATTTTCTTTCCTGCACAACATTAAAAAAAATCCTATCAGAAGCTCTGCTGCAAAGTAACTTGGTATTTCAAGAATTGATGACTGCAAATTAATCCACATATAAATAAGCCAGTGGATTGAATCTAGTATAAGGTGGGGCCAAAAATAGTTGCACGGACAATGACCCAGAAGGCAAGGTAAGTAGAACCAACTTGAAAATTCAGGTATACATACTACATGAAAGAGGCCATCTGAAATAACACCTTTTTAGCAGCTAAATGGATATAAAAACTACAAAAAATACTTATTGATTAACAACAACTATCATCAACATATGAGCAGTATTCTTTAGTAATAGCTGGTTCAATTGATCTGTAGGCTGTACTCAGCGAGGGGGGGAAATGGATAGCCATGACCCTATAAAACAGTGGAGCATGAGTCGGGATCCAAACCATCAACAAAAGCTTTATCCTTCTTTTCCCGAGAATGGTAAATCCAATTACTAGGAAACTGATCGCTATCTGCTTCTACTTCAACAGCTTTTTCAATAACCTGTGAAAAAAACCTTTTCTGTTAAACAAATCATAATTGTGAAATTATCTTACCGTTGACTTTTCCAGGCTTTTTGCCCCACCGATAATGGAATAACCATTCACTAGGGAAGCGGCTGCTATCCGCATCAACATCAACTGAAAACTCTGTAACCTATGAATATGATCTCAAGTGTCTATACCGCATAAAAAGGGAATAAAAGATATAATTAATTGACTAAACATTAAAAGTAAGAAAGAAACCTCTTTTATGCACTTCAGTAGTGATTCACAACTTTCTTTGGACATGCTTGAAGCGATCTGCATTGGATGAACTCTTGCCTGTCAAATTGAACAGAAACATTATGAGACAATGTTTTGGATGTGACCAGCTATAAAAATATGCAACAGATTGGCTTAAGGGAAGGGACAAAGGACAACAAAAGAATGAAACAATTTGGCCAGAACAAGAGCTATGAAGCAGGGATACTTTTAAATAAGCGAAGCATCTTGAGAGGGATCATGTTTTGCTTCAAACAATCTATGGTAGGAATATTATAGAAACTGATTGCAATATCACATATAATCTGATACGGCCCATTCTAGACACTGGAGCAGCCAACTGGTAATTGCAAGGATTTGATCTGAAATGGCTGTCTTTCTTTTATATTCAGATTCAGCACGTATCATGGTAGCCAGTAGGTGAATAAAGAGTCTGATTTCACAACACATGGGTATTCTCATATTCATTTTCATTTACATCAATGAGATGAATGCAGCAAGCATATCAAGGTTTGGTGTGAGAAGAAAAAGTTGGTTGCTACTTGTGAAGTTCTAAAATCTCAATCAAATAGAGAACAAGAAAAAAAGCAGACAGGTAAAACTGTAGAGAAAAAACGTGTGGACTAGCGATGAACAAAAGAAAGTAGTGGGCTAGAGAGCAGACATATAAAGTTCTAGTGCTATAGTTGTGTAAAACACTCAACATTTCAATATTTTATTTTAACTAAAAGCTTCATATACAAAGTATATACCAATGAAAAGCAAGTCTTTTTAGTGAAACTACTTTAAGAGAACAAACTTTAGTAGCAAAATGGTCCATCTTTTGCATAACATTGAAGACATAAGACCTCAATGATAAGCCTCCCCTGTGTGAGGTATAAGCTTTTCATAAGTATGATCTTAATCTTGTTAAAACATTACAGACAAGGTTGATGGCAGAGAGAAGAAAGGCCCACTCACTTGATATAGCACCTCATCTGCAATCCAGTTGCCAATACCAGATATAAAACCCTGCAGAAACAATGCCATGTCAAAGATTGATGCAGTTGAAAATGAAATATCAGCATTTCTACATGGAAAATCTGCAATATAGTGCTTACATCATGACCTACATGGGGGGAAATGAACTGTTGTCATAGCTAGTACCTTTTCCAACAAAACAATTTGTTTTATTTGCATGCAAATCATGGTGACCGTTTCTATAATCCTTCTCCAAATGCCAGTATGCCACTTATTGGTGGTCAGGTTATGGTTAGAAGGGAAGTAAATAGACGAAGATCAAATCCTGATAAAAAGAAGCATAGGGATAAGAAAGATGGGGGGGTATCAGGAAGATCAATGCCACTGCAGCACAGTTCTTGAATATCAGTAACGATGATGAAGATGTTGCGTATTGAGCAACTTACCCCTTCAAGCCATGCATCTCAGCCTTCCAGCATCTCCGGATCAGGAAAGGATGGAACGATTCAGTTAATAGCACGAGACAGATACCCTTGTCGCAAGGCTGTGCCTCTTGCACTGTAAGATGAAAAAGATGCTCCTCAGTTGTGCTCCATTCACATTTGGGCACGAGTATGATCATTGTGGGAAAACATAGTCACGCCCCACCAAGGAAAAAACATGGTGGGGTTCCACTATGACTCCAAGGACTCCGGCTTGCTGGTGGCCCTGCCTCCACTCACCATTGAGTTCCTGCTCCATCATGTGACCTTTTGCGGGTTGATGCCGAACATGCACTGGCTGCTCACCTCTTCACCCACGCCGACTGGAAGATCAGAATACCCCTTAGCATTTGGCTTTTCAAATTCATGCTTAAAGTCTACCTAGGTGCCGCCAAGGCCACAGGTTGAGGACAAGAGATCAGGAAGTTTTAACATCCAAGTCGTCATCTGATGTGCTGATTGCTTAGATCTGCTTTTACTCTTATGCCTGTTAATAGACACATCTCACACTCTGGTGACTGGACGTCCCAGACTAAGTTCTAGATACCGAACGGATGCTTGTCAACTGAACTGAGAACATCACGTTTAAAACCTTTCAGATTGTTCAACTAGCTTGAAGCCTTGAACCCAGAAACATAAGATCTCTGAGGTCACTAGTTCGAATCTCTGGGTCACTGCAGATTTATATTGTCATTAACCTATGGGCCCATGGAATTATTAAGGCCAAAATGGTCCCGCACTAACAGGAATTATCTTACATTGAAACAGGTATGGATGAAGCTTGTCACTTTGTTTCCAATAGACATTACCAACTAATGGGGTTAATTAACGTATATCACTCTGGTCGGCACTCAGGCTAGGGCGATCTGAACTGATCAAGCTGATATAGGGAAAAGAAGGGTTAAAAAACACCTGGACAAAAGTAGGAAGGTAGTAGGCTTGTAGGTGGAAACACCTGTAGTCCGAGGTAATAGGAACATTACCAGATGTTCAATACAAGTTATAGGGCTGTAGGGAAACCAGTAGGAAAAGATTAAATTTGCTAGTACAACCAGAGTTAGTCAGGCACTAGAACTTTTTCATTCTAGGAATGGCAGAATTGGATTGTTTTCTTCACGCTATAAGATGTACTTATAAGGCAAATGTTGATTTCGTACAGGTCAAGTCACATTTTAATGAAACATGTTACTACCTGAGCTACAATTATACCATAGGCCTGTTTCAGCCAGCCAATCATGTAGCAGGACTGGCAGAATGATCTGGCCGGACGACCATCGGAGCGAGTCCATCACATTAGAAGATTATGGAAAAATAATAGAGCAACTAAGTAGAAGATTGCATTTTAATTTGATTTGAATGCCTTAATTAGCATATCTATCTTAAGGAATAATTACCAAGGATGACTTCATTTCCTTGTCTCAAGCAGTTCTATGCTTATAATCCCCATTATTAAGAGGAAGATTTGCTTTGTTAATAAAACAACTCAGAATGAATTAAGAAAAAATGAACGAAAACTTCACAAATTCCCAAGGAAAATGAAAATTATCTAAAATTCTAATTGCTCTTTCCATTTGTACTTTTAATTCATTTCCATGATGTGAAGAATCCACGTACATAACATTTTGGATTTGCTGCTGGCATCATTGGATATTACACACTTTTCATGATTGGTAGATGCTCCTTTTAGGGCAGAAGGAGTAGCACGTATCAGACAAATAGACCTTTAGCAAATTGATAAATGGATTCCATGCAAACATATCGGGGGGGAGATAAGTCAGTGAATCTTTTGAAACCTGGTCAAGTAAAAGGGCCTTAATTCCAATCTTTTTCTTGCTTAGAACTTGGTGGAACTCTTCTATTGTCAGTGGCTCCAATAGCGCATCAGGTCCAAGATCTGATATAGGAGGCACAGTGACTGGCTGCAGAGGATAATCCATCAGGAAACTTTATAGAAGAGCCCACACTTCATGAAATGAAAACATAATTCCGGAAGTGTTGAAGTATATAATATATAGCATTACAATACATTTTCAAGCAACCGAACTCGAGCAAATCTCCTCTTGTCAGTGAAGGAAAGCTCCAGGCCATTTTCCAGCTGTATGAAATGGGTAACGTGTCATTCATAATTAAAAGTGTATATTTTCTTATCCAAGTATCCAACTAAACATAGTACATATCATTATCAAATTTGAGTGTACTGACATACTTACTTCTTAGAGGAACTTTTAATAATATTATAATAGTGTGTATGTTTCCAGTTCATGATTGATGACATTCTTATGTGAATTATCACTATTATGTATGTGAATTATCACGTATATAAGAGCAATCAGAAATTCCAAGTAAAAATTGCGAGTTTCCCAAATAGGCAGTCAGTGATGATATGTGTTTTCTTCTTGATGTCAGTGCCTAACAAGGACGTGTACCGTGTTTTATCAGATTAGTGCACAAGCCACCCATGAGTTTCAGAAAACGGAACTTTAAATGTGCAGTACAGTATCAGTATCTAAGTGTAATCTTTAATTCATGCATAATATCCGAGATTACTGCTCACTTCAATGAAAAACTTTGAATACTTGGAAGGCCACTCATCCTCGTCTTTGACAGCAGACCTGTATGTATGAAGGAATACAGTCACCCTCACGGCCTCACCCCTTAGTTCCAAAACAATTTGTAGATGCAAAAAGTAGAAAAAAACAGAACTTTAAATGTCTACATTAAATGGCTCTGCGTTAGGGACAATTGTTGTGTGCACTGAAAGGTTCTACTGCTCAGTAGAAGACTGCATATTGCACAACCAAAAGGTCTAGCTACAGGAACAACAACAAAACCTTAACCCCAGATTATTGAGGTCAGGTAATAAAAATTATATCCGACATGTAGTGCAGAAAAAAGAGTTTAAAAAACAAAGGTCAACTATCTGGAATATGAAACTAAATCTCCTGAAGAACAACAAACCCTTAACCCAGATTATTGGGGTCAGCTGATAAACAAAACGGTATCAGACATTAGACCAGAAAAACGAGTTTAACAAACAAAAAAATCCTGCAAAGAGTACAACATAGACTCTGAATGTGCTGAAGACTGAAGTATTACCTACTCAACTCTCTGGAAAATGATATTAAGTTTATAAAGATTTATCAAATCATTCAAAGTTACAGAGTATCCCAGAACATACACTAAATTCTCTACTAGTAAGGATCGGAGTAGGACAGACCGTTTGTATTTTGTGACAGCTACTCCCTTGATATATACTGCACCCGCCATTCCTGATCAACAGTAATTATAGAAAGCCCTGAGTTTTTAGACGCTCAGCCACAAGGTTGTACTAACTAGTAAGCATTAGACGACTGAATTATGCATCATTTCCCCAAATTTGTCAACACACAATTGAAAAAACTGTCCATTTTCAGATTTTCTTCAACAATAAACCCTATACAGAGCTGCGGCATGCTAAATGTATAAACCACTGGATTTGCTTCGCCATCTCTCATAACAATAAAAGACTGAATTGAGTATCACAAAGATATTCGTACTCCATATGATTAACTCATTCCAAGTGTAGTTACTTAGATTTTACTTTCTTTGTAAAAATGACGCTTAGTTGACCAATCGTACCGAACTGAAAAGTTGGAAACGGGGGACAATCGAGCTGAATCCACATGTTTTTTCCCTTGCGATGAGCTGCGACGATGGATTTTCCAGTAAGTGAAGCCTCGAAGTCCTTCGGAGACACACCGTCAATGACCTTAGGGTCATCGGCGATCTTTGATTTCACAATCTTCAATCCCTTGCAGTTGTCCTCCACGGCTCTGCGAGCCGCCTCGACCTCAGGAAGCTCCGGCATTCTCAAGAACAAGATGGAACGTGGGTCGGAGTGTTTGAGATTGCTTTGCTTAAAAAAAGTGTATTTTAAAGTGCTTTTATACACGATGTTTAATTGTAAAAGTTGGTACTCTTTGAGAAAAAAATAATTCTCAAAAAGTAAAACTAAGTGTTGTTTGATAAAATAAATGTTTTTTGTGTAACAGAAAAAATTAAAAGAAGTTTAAAGCACATTGATGGAGTATATGGGTCTGAGCCCCCGGACCCACATACTCAGAAGAACAGAAAGCACAAGACACTGAGTGGCGCCCACGTCGGCCAAGGGACCCCCGTCGGCCGAAAAGGTGCCAACTCAGATTATGGTCCTGAAGCCAAGGAACCCGGGTGCCCTCGTCGGCCGTGCCCTCGTCGGCCGTGCCTTCGTCGGCCACGCCCTCGTCGGCCACGAAGACCCCGCAGAACCGGATTCTACACTTACTCATTTGTACAGCCCATTAGTGGCTTTGTATTCGGCCCAGTAGCGGTCCAGTTGTAAATGGTTCTCCCAAGCCCAAGGCTTGGGAGCCCAGCCCGTATTTTCTCTATAAATACTCCCCTTGGGAGTAGTTATAGGGGTGACAAATTCATTCTATTGAAGCATATAATGCACTTCTCTCTCTATCTCTCACTTCTCTCTAGATATACTCTATCATTTGGTGCTCTCGTTGAGAGCTAGAACAATCAAGTTAGCACCCTTCGTCGCTACCAAGCACAGCTAACCACTGATCATGGGAAGAACTAAATCAAACCGCAACCTCGTCAGCAAGGCCATCCCGGAGGACCAAGAGCCCAGGGAGCACGATGAGGACGCCACGGCCGACCAGGTCGCCGGAGGGGACGTCTTCCAGGAGGCCTTCAACCTCACGACGGACCTCCGCAACCAACTCAACGGCGGAGCCCCTGATGCCCGCATTGGCTTGGACAAGAAACGAGCTGAGAAGACAGACCACGCCCCGACCCAGCCTATGGTCGCGGCCTCTCCGTCCGTGGATCCACAGGTCCAGGCCGCGCTGTCGGTCATCATCGCCAGCCTGGCTCAGAACCCCACCGTCCTCAGCGCACTCTTGCCAAGGACCGGGGGGAACGTCACTCCACCTCCTCAGCCGCAACCGTTGGTCGTCCAGATAGGCAACGATGAGGGGGTGATAGCCCAGGACACGGCGTCGTCTCACTCACACCCTGCTTCCCCTCTTCGGCCCGGGCAGACCCCAGCGCGTGGAAAAGCCTCTGCCTTCAACAGGCTAGGTGACACGCGCCGTCGTCCAGTTTCGGAGAGGATGGCGGGACGGATTGGCGAGCGTCGGCCTGGCTCGCCAAGGGAAAGTTTGGGGTCTGTGTCCCGGACAGCGGACCAGCCCCGCCCGGACAAGGGCAAGGGGAAGCTGCACGAAGACGACGTGCGCCACCAGATCAATGCGGCTCACGACGAGCGCATGAGGGACCAGCCGGGCGCCGCTGCGGCCGCCAGGGACCCCCGGGACGAGGTCATCGCCCAGCTGGAAAGGAGGTTGGCACAGATGGAGGCCAAGCAGTCGGCCAACATCCCTACGGCCGGCGCCTCCAATAACCCCGGCCTCAACGCGCTCATGAACAAAGTCAACGCCCTGGAGAGGGAGTTGGCCGAGGGGGGAGGTGACCCTATCATCCAGGTCAGGACCAGGACCCCCTTCACCAACAGGGTCCTCTCGGCCCCCATCCCGGAGAAGTACAGGGGAAACGCCATCAAGTCCTACGACGGCCGATCAGACCCCCAGGAGCACTTCAGCCGCTATCAGAACAACATGCTGATGGTGAACGCGTCGGATGAATATCTCTGCCGTTTGTTCCTCTCTACTCTCGAGGGGTCAGCGTACGAGTGGTTCAACGCGCTCCCCGAAGGGAGCATCGACTCATGGCAGGATCTTGCCCAACGCTTCCTTACCCACTTTGCCGGGAGGAAGCGTGCGAAGAAGTATTTCACCCACCTCCTCTCCGTCAAGCAGCAGCATGATGAGTCCCTCCGCTCATTCATTGATCGTTGGACGAGGGAGACCGAAGAAGTCGAGGGGCCGACGAGCGCACCCTCCTCGCCTTGTATCAGGGAGCCCTCCGCAGCTCCCCGTACGCTAGGAGCCTCATCACCGACCCTCCGAGGTCGTACGCCAAGGCACTCCAGCGCGGAGGCTTGTACGCCGACGCCGACGAGCTCCACAATCACAAGAAAGAGGGGGGCCATCCCTCCAAGAAGACAAATTCCTCGCCGGCCCCGGGTCCGTCCCCGGCCGGCCAGGGTGCCCAGGGCCGCCACGGCTCTGGTGGACAGAGTAAGAAAGATCGCCACTGGCGACCAAGGTTGGAACGGCCGGGGGTTGCCCTCACTCACCCGGTCGGCATCATCCTCGACTATGCCGAGAAGCATGGCCTCATCGAGCAGGCTCCTCGGCCGGCCGAGGAGGTCCTTGCCATCCAGCAGGGCGGCACATACTGCCGGTTCCACAAGAACTCATCACACAACACCGACGATTGCATCACACTGAAGAAGGCCATCGAGCGTCTTATTCGCCAGGGGGAACTCTCCGAGTTTGTTAAAGGTGGCCCACGCAAAAACACATGGGTAAACACCGGCAAACATGGGGGCGAACCCTCTGCGAAGAAGCGGGAGATTGGTAGGCTCAGCGACGACGAGGACTTCGAGGAGCCCCCGCCGAAGAAGAATCACATTCACCTCATCGTAGGTGGGAACACTAGGGGGGACTCCGCCACTCAGAGAAAGAAATGGGCCCAATCCCTCTACATTGGGGAGGTGTCCCACGTTCCCCCTCAGCCGAAGAAGCAGCGAACGGAGGCGATCACCTTCACCGACAAGGATTTGCCTCCGGGTACGGAATCACACAGGGACGCCCTCGTCATCCGGTGTGAGATTTGTGACTCCATCATCCACCGCACTTACATCGATACGGGGAGCTCCGTCAACGTGATGTGCCTAGATACCTTCAGGCAGCTGAAGCTGGACAGAGCCCTGCTGAAGCCGATCAAGACACCGTTATCCGGCTTCACCGGGGACTCTATCGACGCGGATGGCATGATAGTCCTCCCCGTAGAGGTCGGTGACGGCCCCCACCGTGCCAAGATTGACATGGAGTTCATGGTGGTCAACCTCTAGTGCCCCCACAACCTGATCTTGGGGCGGCCAGCGCTGGAGGACTTGGAGCCCATCATCTCCATGAAGTACTTGTGTCTGAAGTTCCCCACCAATGACGGCATCGGCTACGCCAGAGGAAACCAGAGGATAGCCAGGGCATGCTACCTCAAACTGACGAGGCCGGCCGAGGGGGAAGGTCAGAGGATAGACACCATCACGGCAACCGTTGCCAAGGATGAGGAGAGGCCGCATGCTGAGCCGGCCGAGGAGGTCGAGGAGGTCCCTCTGAATACCTCCCGGCCGGAGCGGGTCCTCAGGATCGGGAAGCAGCTCCCCCAGGACCAACGAGACGCCATCCTCCTCGTCCTACGGTCATACGCCGTTGTCTTCGCGTGCGGCCCGGACGATATGCCAGGCATCAGCCGCCAGGTGATCACTCACCGGCTGACCGTCGATCCGGCCTTCGCGCCTGTCAAACAGAAGCGGCGCTACTTGTCCATCGACAGGCGGGACTTCGTCAAAGGGGAGGTCGCCATGCTCCTCTCAATCAAACACATTAAAGAGGTAAAGTACCCGACATGGTTGGCCAACGTCGTCCTCGCCCAGAAACCGCCGACGTTCAGAATGTGTGTTGATTACACTGACCTGAACAAGGCGTGCCCCATGGACCCGTTCCCTCTCCCCAACATTGATGAGCTGGTGGACGAGACGGCGGGGTGCGAGTTGATGTCGTTCCTCGACGCTTTCAGAGGGTACCACCAAATCTCCATGCATGAAGATGACGCTGAGAAGACGGCGTCCATGACCCCAGAGGGAATCTTTTGCTACCTCGTCATGGCCTTCGGACTCAAAAACTCCGGCGCCACCTATACTAGGATGGTGGCCAAGATCTTCAGGGCGGTCCTTGGCCAGACGATGGAGGCATACGTCGACGATATGATCGTCAAGAGCAGGCAGGCCTCCTCCCACGCCGACGACCTCCGGGAAATCTTCAAAATCATGAAGGAGTTCAGGCTCCGCCTCAACCCCAAGAAGTGCGCCTTCGGCGTCCAGGGCGGCAAGTTCCTCGGCTACATGGTCAGCCGGAGAGGCATCGAGATAAACCCAGAGAAAACACAGGCTATCATCAACATGGAGCCGCCCCGCAACGTCAAGGAAGTACAGCGACTGACGGGGCGCCTGACGGCCCTGAACCGGTTCCTCTCCAGGTCAGCTGAGAGGGAACTCCCCTTCTTTCAGATCATGCGTAAGGCCAACAGTTTCAAGTGGACGACGGAGTGCCAGGAAGCGTTCGAAGAGTTGAAGAGGTACCTATCGTCCCCGCCCGTACTCTCCAAGCCCAAAGCCGGCGAAACCCTCTTCTTGTACTTAGGGGTGAGCACGTCGGCCATGAGCTCCGTGCTCATCCGTGAGGACGAAGGGGTGCAAAAGGCCATCTTCTACATCAGCAAGACACTCAGGGGAGGCCGAGCTCAGGTACTCCCCCATTGAGAAGACGGTGCTGGCCATCGTCCATACGGTGAAGAAGCTGGGACACTACTTCCAGGCCCATGCCGTCCATGTGCTGACCCAGCAGCCTCTTGGCGCACTCATGAGGAGCCCCACCAGCTCCTCTAGGATGGTGAAATGGGCAATCTTCCTCAGCCAATTTCAAATTGAGATCAAGCCAAGGCCATCTATCAAAGGGCAAGCCTTGGCCGACTTCGTCACTGAATGCACAGCAAGGGAGACGGCCGTCGCCAACCCCGGGCCGGAGCCGGACGATACATGGATCCTATTCACTGACGGCTCATCGGCCGCGAAATCATGCGGTGGCGGCGTCGTCCTCATATCCCCTGAAGGATTCAGAGCTTACTATGCCATCCGCTTCAACTTCAGGGTATCCAACAATGAAGCCGAGTATGAGGCCCTCCTCAGCGGTCTCAGACTTGCC